AAGGTTGACTCAGCCTTCCATCCTTCCGAGCTCCGTAAAATGAGGACTCAGATTGTTGGGGGCATAGACATAGACATACCCAATTCTAGCAACCGTTCTTTATACGTTTCAGCCTCCAGCCCCCTAATCACCTAATAGTAGTAACTGTGAGAGGGGACCTCGGAGTCCTAGTGGACAACCATTTAAATACGAACCAGCCGTGTGCAGCGGCTACCAAAAAAGCCAACACAGTTTTAGGCTGCATAAACAGAGGGAGAGAATCAAGATCACGTGAAGTGTTAACACCACTTTATAAGGCCTTGATAAGGCCACACTTGGAATGCTGTTGGAATCCAGTTTTGGTTGCCACGATGTAAAAAATATTTTGAGACTCTGGGAAGAGTGCAGAGAAGAGCAACAAAGAGGATTAGGGGACCGGAGGCTCAAACGTATAAAGAACAGTTGCTGGAACTGGGTATGTCTAGTGAAAAAAGGGACTAGGGGTGACATGATAGCAGGGTTCCAATATCTCAGGAGCTGCCCCAAAGAAGAGGGGGTCAAGCTATTCTCCAAAGCCCCTGAGGGCAGGACGAGAAGCAACGGATGGAAATTCATCGACTTAGAACTAAGGAGAAATTTCCTGACAGAGCAATTCATCAGAGGAACAACTTGCCTCCAGAAGTTGTGAATGCTCCAACACTGGAAGTGTTTAAAAAGATGTAAGATAACTATTTGTCTGAAGTGTAGGGTTTCCTGCCTAGGCAGGGGGTTGGACTAGAAGACCTCCAAGGTCCCTTCCAACTCTGTTATTCTATATTCTATCTTTGTTGCACTTCTCTGCACCCTTTCCAGAGTCTCAATATCCTTTTTGTAATGTAAGGACCAAAAACTGGATGCAGTATTCCAGGTATGACCTCACTGAGGGCTTTATAAAGCAGTACTAACATTTCATGTGTTCTTGATTCTATCCCTCTGTTAATGTGACCTAGGAGTGCATTGACTCTTTCGGCTGCCACCGCACACAGCTGGCTCATATTTAAGTGATTGCCTACTAGGACTCCAAAACCCCTATCACTCTTACTTTTATTGAGCCAGTTTTCGTCTAATCTCTTACCTGTACATTTCTTACCTAAGAAACATCTTACTTTTCTCTACGTAGAACTTCATTTTGTTAGATAGGGCCCAGTGTTCAAGTCTGGTGAGATCCATCTGGATCTTGAGCCTATCTTCTGGCGTGTTGGCTATTCCTGCCAGTTTAGTGTCATCTGCAGATTTTTCCCAAATCACCGCTCTTACGCTGACAAGTTTTTAAAAATGTAAATTTAGAGCGTTCTTGCATAAAAACAAAAACCACAAGTCTAGAGTACTGCATCCAGTTTTGGTCACCACACTATAAAAAAGATGTTGAGACTCTAGAAAAAGTGCAGAGAAGAGCAACCAGGAAGATGAGGGGACTGGAGACTTAAAAACATATGAAGAACGGTTACAGGAACTGGGCATGACTAGTCTAGTGAAGAGAAGGACCAGGGGAGACAGGATAGCATCTTCCAATATTTGAAGGGCTGCCACAGAGAGGAAGGGGTCAAGCTGTTCTCCAAAGCGCCTGAAGGCCAGAGAAGGAATAATGGATGGAAACTGAACAAGGAGAGATTCAACCTGGAATTAAGGAGAAACTTTCTGACAATGAAAACAATCAACCCATGGAATAGGTTGCCCTTGAAAGTTGTGGGAGCTTCATCACTTAAGACTTTCAAGAAGAGATTGGACTCCCATCTGTCAGAAATGGTGCAGGGAAGGGGGTTGGACTAGATGACCTACAAGTTCCCTTCCGACTCTGATTTATCTGTTAAATCTGAGTCACACTGCATCTACCAAAACTTCCAATTTTTTACATGTCATGTTTCTGTAAATTTCTTTAAGACACTCTTAAAGCTGAAATACGAACAATGCCCACCAAATAACACGCTGTCGGGAATAAAATGCCAACCCTTTAACTTAAAATGCCATCAAGAGGCGCCTCCTTTTCAGCTTCAGCGGTTGTGCTGTCTACCCACACAGTTGCTCAGAAGTGCAAAAGAAAAGGAAAAAAACCACAGTCTAGCAACGCGGGAGTAGGCGGGGATATTCTGAGGTGGCCGATTCTGACCCTGGGCCTTGGGTACCATTTAAGGCAGGTGTCCCCAACTTTGGCAAATTTAAGCCTGGTGGACTTCCACTCCCAGAATTCCCCAGCCAGCATGTCCTGAGTCCCTCCATGGCCGTTAGAAATCTAAGTCCAACCCACCTTGAATTCACTTATTGCTTATTTATTCACTTATTGCTTAATAATTATTACTTATTACTGAGAACTTATGCACGGGAGACAAATTCTTTGTGTGTCCAATCTCACTTGGCCAATAAGGAAGTGAATTCTATTCCATTCCATTCCATTCTTGATTCTATTCCATTCCATTCCACTCCACTCAATATTCATTCCATTCCATTCCATATTATTTCCATTATTTCCATCCCATTCCATCCCATCCTATTCTATTCTTCCATTCCATTCCATATTATTTCCATTATTTCCATTTCATCCAGTCCCCTAATCATCCTGGTTGCTCTTCTCTGTACTTTTTCTAGAATCTCAACATCTTTTATAGTGTGGTGACCAAAACTGGATGCAGTACTCTAGGTGTGGCCTTACTAAGGCTTTATAGAGTGG